CATCATCATCATCATCATCATCATCATCATCAATCATCATCATCATCATCATCATCATCATCATCATCATCATCATCATCATCATCATCATCATCATCATCATCATCATCATCATCATCATCATCATCATCATCATCATCATCATCATCATCATCATCATCATCAGCATCATCATCATCATCGTCATCATCATCATCATCATCCATCCATCCATATCCTTTCATTCATCATCCTCATCATCACCATCACCACCACCACCATCATCATCATCACCATCATCATAATCATCATAATCATCATAATCAGCATTATCAGTATCATCCTCGTCAGCACCAGCATGAGAATCATAATCATCCTCATCATCATCAGCATTAGCAGCATCATCATCAGCAGCATCATCATAAGCATCATCATCGTCGTCGTCGTCATCAACAGCATCCTCATCAGCATCACCATCATCAGTATCAGCTGTATCATCATCAGCGTAATCATCGTCAGCAGCATTCTCATCATCAGCAGCATCACCATCTGCATCATCAACATCAGCATCAGCAACATCGTCGTCATCGTCATCATCATCCACATCATGAGCAACAGCGTCATCGTCATCATAATCATCCTCATATGCCTCCTCATCATCATCCTCATCATCATCCTCATCCTCATCGTCCTCGTCATCGCCTTCGCTATCCTCATCCTAGTGTCCCACCCGATACATACAGGGCTACGCCTACCCTTAAGGGCGTCAGCGGTACACTCCAGGCGAAGCCATAGCCCGACGTCATCAGCTACAGCGCTGGGATCAGGGCGTGTGACACGGACGACACGGCAGCGCCTCCTGCAAGGACACCGGCGGCCGCGCTCCAGAAACACCTGTGAGGGCGGCCGCAGGATCAGCATGTTCTGCATGCACGTGGCGCGGGAAAACATGACCTAGAGGTGCAGCCACCACTGCTCGTCCGACATGCCTGTGCGGCCAGCGTCCTCGTCCCTCGCGCAGTCGATGGTGACGCCCTTGCGCAGCGTCTGGCCCTGCGACAGCGTGGAGGTCAAGTAAGACGCGTGCGTCAGGAGCTGGCGCAGCAGCAGAGAACCCTCCTCATCCTCCTCATCCTCATCGTATTCGGCGCCCTGTCGCAAACTTGTTGCGACAGGGCGCCGAAGACGCCGACGACGACGGCCAGGCCGAGGCGCGGGCTCGGAGCTTGCTGATGTCCAGTTCCAGCGAGCAGGAGCTCACGTGGCAGAGCTCGGGGTCGCACACCGTGCGCCTCTCGGGGTCCACTCGGACTCACGCGTCCTACCTCACCTCCACGATGCCGCAGGGCCAGACGCTGCGCAAGGGCGTCACCATCGACTGCGCGAAGGACGAGGACGCTGGCCGCACGGGCATGTCGGACGACCAGTGGTGGCTGCACCTCTACGTCATGTTTTCCCGCGCTACGTGCATGTGGAACATGCTGATCCTGCGGCCGCCCTCGCGCGAGTTTCTGGAGCGCGGGCCGCCGGTGTCCTTGCGGGAGGCGCTCAAGAAGTTCGATGAGAAAGCGAAGAACTCCAGGGATGAAGCCGAGCAGCTCGCTGCGGATCTTGGCTTCGTGCTGCCTCCCGCCTGAACGCCGCGGCGCGCAGCTAGAGGCCCGCGGGGTTGTCCCAACGGTCTGGCTCGCGGGGTTGTCCCGAAGGCCTGGCCTCGCGCCCCAGCGGTCCGCAGGGTTGTCCCAAAGGCATGGCCCGCGGGGCTGCCCCGAAGGTTTCGCGATCTAGCCGTGCGAACGCGTGCGCGTTGGCCGAGGCGGCGACGGCGCCGAGGAAAATCGATTTGCTGATCCCCGCGCCACGTGCATGCGGAGCATGCTGACCCTGCGGCCGCCCTCGCGCGAGTTTCTGGAGCGCGGGCCGCCGGCTTCCTTGCGGAAGGCGCTCCTGGAGTTCGACAAGAGAGCAGAGACGTCCAGGGATGAAGCCGAGCAGCTCGCCGCAGAGCTTGGGTTTATGCTGCCTCCCGCCTGAGCGCGGCTGCGCCCCGCTCGAAGCCCGCGGGGTTGTCCCAATGGCTTGGCCCGCGGAGCTGTCCCGACCGCCTGCCCCCGCGCCCCAGCGGCCCGCGGGGTTGCCCCAAAGGCTTCGCGAACCAGCCGTCGGGGAATGCGCGCGCTCTGGCCGCGGCGGCGACGGCGCCGAGGAAAATCGATTTGCTTGCCCCGACCAAGGGGAAGGGGAGGAGCGCGCGGAGAAGAAGCAGGGGAAGGATGAGGACGCGGAAGGGGTAGGGAGGGGGTAATGATGAGGAGGAAATGGAGGAGGAGGAGGAGGAGGAGGAGAAATAGAAGGAGGGGGAGTAGGTGAGGGCAGAACGGCGGGCGAGAGGAGAGTATCCGTCAGGGCGGCTTCCGTCGGAATACTTACAGGTTGCCGATGACCTGCTCGGATTACCAACATGAAGTACGGGACCCATAGGGAGGGGGCTCCCGCCTGAGACTTCCTCACAATTCACTCAGACGAGGCTCCCGCTTGATACTTCCTCCAAATTCGAGCCTGAGGAGCCCAAAAGTGACGACAGTTACAGGTTGCCGATGACCCGCTCGGATTACCAACATGGAGTGCGGGACCCATAAGGAGGGGGCTCCCGCCTGAGACTTCCTCACAGTTCACTCACAAACGAGGCTCCCGCTTGATACTTCCTCCAAGTTCAGGCCTGAGGAGTTCAAAAATGGCGACAGTTACAAGTTGCCGATGACCTGCTCGGATTACCCACATGAAATGCGGGACCCATAGGGAGGGGGCTCCCGCCGGAGACTTTCTCACAATTCACTCGCAGACGAGGCTCCCGCTTGATACTTCCTCCAAATTCAAACCTGAGGAGACCAAAAATGACGACAAGTACAGGTTGCTGATGACCCGCTCGGATTACCAACATGAAGTGCGGGACCCATAGGGAGGGGGCTCCCGCCGGAGACTTCCTCACAATTCACTCACAGGCGAGGCTCCCGCTTGATACTTCCTCCAAATTCAAACCTGAGGAGCCCAAAAGTGACGATGGTTACAGGTTGCCGATGACCCGCTCGGATTACCAACATGAAGTGCGGGACCTATAGGGAGGGGGCTCCCGCCTGAGACTGCCTCAGGTGACATAAGCGAGTGATTGTGCTGAGTGAGTGAGTGAGTGAGTGAGTGAGTGAGTGAGTGAGTGAGTGAGTGAGTGAGTGAGTGAGTGAGTGAGTGACTGGGTGGGTGGGTGGGTGGGTGGGTGGGTGGGTGAGTGATGATGATGACGATGATGATGATGATGAGTGGTGATGAGTGCGATAATGATGATGATGATGATGATGATGATGATGATAATGATGATGATGATGATGATGATGATGATGATGATGATGATGATGATGATGATGATGATGATGATGATGATGATGGTGATGGTGGTGGTGGTGGTACTGATGGTGGTGATGATGATGATGATGATGATGATGATGATGATGATGATGATGATGATGATGATGATGATGATGATGATGATGAGAGGGAGAGTGAGAGAGAGGGGGGTGAGGAGATCCTGCGCGGAGGGTGTCCAGAGGAAACAAGAACCCCACTTAGGATGTGGGGAAAAATAGCCCCCCCAAAAAAAGAAGAACAAAAAAACAAAAAAAAACAAAAAAACAAAAACAAAACAAAAAAAAACGACCCCAGGCTAGTTTTGACTATTTTCGAATGTTTCTCCTGGTCGGCGCGAGCCTGGGCCAGCCCAGACCATGGCGAAGACACCCGCCGGTCGCACAGCAGCTCCCGAACCCGGAGGCAGCCGAGGGAGAGCAGAGGGGGGGGGTCGGCTCCACACATGGTGAGCGCTTTCTTATTCGGCGTTTCGACATTGGGCGGAAGGGGGGGGAGGGGGGGTCTGGCTCCGGACCTCTGCTTGATGCGACTGTTTGCATCAGTGCGTCCTGTGGGGGAGACCCCACTTGCTCGAAACAGGCGCCAGAAACAGCCAAGATCTACTCCAGGGGGGGGGATCAGCGGGGAGGGGGGGCTACGGGGGCCCGCGCCGATCGGCAAAACAATGAATAAGACGACGATCACATGGGCGATTTCGCAACCCCTGAACCCAAAACTGTTTTCACCGCTTGGAGGCGCATCTTTCACTTCCGCCGCCTGCCGCCGAACTTCCGCTGGCTTCCGCCGGCGGAGGCGGCCTCGTTTTACTTCCGCCGACCTTCCACCGCCTTCCGCCGCGGAAGAGATGACAACTCCTTCGGTCCTCGAAGGCAAGGCCGTTTTTGGGACGCCCCACATGCCTCCCAAACCCCAGCCAGCCAGAGAGGATCAGAAAAGGAATTGGCTGACCCCCGTCAGCGCTGGCACCCATGACGCGCGCCCCGATGCTCCCCCGCCCCTTCCCCCTCATCATCCGGCCTGGTTGCCAGACGCAACCACCACCGTGATGCCCGCTTGCGTGACGCTGTCTATTACCCTCTCGATGGAAAGGCTCTCGCCCGGGGCGGACAGGCTGGCGGAGACGACCGCTGGCCTGTCCGGTCGGTGGGGCTCCAGGGAGGGAGAGATCACGATCCAGAGCGCCTGCAGAATTCGGGGAAGGAGTACACAAGAGGAGAATGCATAAGGTAAGAGAAGCCATCGCCTCGGAGAGGTCGGAAAGTGAGCATACCGTGGCCTCAGCAGGGATGGCTGGCTGTGCCATCGAATTCTGGGTTTCCTTCGCCTCGGTACGAAGGGAGGAGGAAGGTGGAGGAGGAAGGCGGAGAAGGAAGGAGGAGGAAGGCGGTCGAGAGGGCGGAGGAGGAAGGCGGGGGCAGGGAGGCGGGGGCAGGGAGGCCCCAGGATGGCCCGAAGGGCCTGCCGAGGGGCCCTCCGCGGGGTCGTCGTGGTTGCCAGGGGGCTGCTAACGAGAGCTCCAGGAGGTCCTGGAGGGGTCCAGGGAGGAAGAGGAGGGAAGCCAGGGACCAAGAGGGAAGGAAGGGAGGGGAAGCCGGGAAGGAAAGAAGAGGAGGGAAGCCAGGGGGGAAGGAAGGAAGAGGAGGGAAGGAGGAGGGAGGAAGAGGGAGGGAAGCCAGGGACCTCGTCGAGAAGGTCGACGCGCGCTCCCAAGAGTGCCCAGGCGACGTCGCCCACTCCCGCTTCGGCGGCCGTGCAGAGAGGAGAGCAAGGAGGGGGGAGGGCGCCTCCGATCAGGTGGAGTCGGCGGTGGACAAACCTCCCGTTGAGTCGGCGCCTGAGGATGCAAGGGCCTTGGAAGGCCGTTCGGGAACTCTTCGAGTGGGGCGCGGCCAAAGCAAGTGGCCGAGGATGGGACGGAGGAGGGAAAAGGGGTGCAAGGGGGTACCCTTTGGGAAGATTGCCCGTCCTTCATTCGGCGGTGGACAAACCTCCCTTTCGCAAACCTCCCCTTAGTGAAAATTGGCCTGGGACCGAATTCGACGGACCTGGACCCGCAAAAATGACGGCCGCGGCGCCCTCTCGCGAACCGAGAACGGCCAAGTCCTTAATCGACGTGTCAGGGTAGGAGGTCTATCCACCTCCGAGTGAGACAATCGGCTACACGCAAGAGTGACCCTGGGTAAGTGACCTTTGGTGCGCGGCTTTTTGGGTGGCCGCGGGGGAACCAAACCCCAGCGCGCAAGACGCTACTGTGGCACCGCGTTCGGCGATCGGGGGACCCCAATGGGCCCGCACCAAAGGTCACTCCGGCGAAGGGTTACTCTTACGTGTAGCTGAGACGAGCAGACCAGGCGATAGTCTGGTCACGACGGCGACGTGGCTCTGAAGCGAACTCGGGCCAGCGTCTCGTGCGCTCGCGGGACCTGCCCGACAGCATGCCGAGACTGCGATCGGAGTCCTGCCGCAAGGAATCTTGAAGAGGGAACCCTGCGACCCTGCAGTCGGATGCGCCCGGGTTCGGGCCACCGGTCCCGCGCAGATCGATCTGGCTCGAGAAACGCTGGGGAATGAGAGAGGACCTCTGAGGCTCCCGTCGCGATTACCCACGATGTTGCATTTTGTCGCGACATCGGATATCGGAGAGAGGAAGAGGGAGCGAGGAGGACTAGGACTAGGACGGTGGGCTGCCTCCGAGGAGGCCGGTCCAAGGGAGAGAGAAGGAGACGGAGGAGGAGGAGGACGACGACGACGACGACGACGACGACGACGACGACGACGACGACGACGGCAGCGGCGACGACGACGATGATGAGGTGGGAGTGGTAACTGAGCGAGGGAGCTGAGGAGAAGGGGAGGAGGACGGGGAGAGGGGGGGGGAAGGAAAAGAGGAGGGAGGAGGATGCTGATGTTGCTGTTGATGCTGATGATGATGATGATGATGATGATGATGATGGTGGTGGTGATGATGGTAGTGGTGGTTAGGGTGATGATGAGGATGATAAGGATGATAAGGATAATGATAATGATACTGGTGGTGATGGTGATGGTGAGGGTGATGGTGATGGTAATGGTGATAGTAATGGAAATGCTGCTGATGATGATTGCAACGATGACGAAGACGACACGTGTGCAAATGATGACGATGATGATGATGGTCATGTGATGATGATGATGATGATGATGATGATGATGATGATGATGATGGTGGTGGTGATGATGCTGATGATCATGATCATGATGATGCTTATGGTGACGGTGCTGATGATGATGACGGTAGTGATAATGATTGTGCGTATCATGATGACGACAATCAGAATGATGATGATCATGATCATCATCATGATCATGATCATGATGATGATGATGATGATGATGATGATGATGATGATGACCATTTGCGCAACAATTACACGGATGCGGGGGCGGCCCTCTTCAAAACGGGGCTGTCGCAAGACACATCGCTGATTTGTTCGATCCTTCCTTTTTGCGGGTCTCGCGTGAATGGCAGGCCCATCAGGTGTTCCTTCTTTCAACGGGGGGCGCTTCCTGTGCGAACGTAAAGCTTGTAGGGAGTCATGAAGAGGGGACTTGGGACAGAAGGGAGAATTGCAGCATCTCTGACGCATCCTGTGTTTACTATGGTCCTCCTCCTCCTCCTCCTCCTCCTCCTCCTCCTCCTCATTCTCCGCCCTCCTCCTACTCCTACTCCTACTCCACTGGAAACATCCAAAAGCCTCCTGAAATCTGCTGGTGATCGCTCAAGCCTTCTCCTTCATCTCCTCTCACTAATCCCCATCCATGTGTTGCGGGCCTTATGGCTTTCGCCTGGACCCAGCTCAGGGCTCGCATGAAGCCGAACACAGTGCCACGGCTGTTGTCGTCAAGTACCTCGCAGGATCCGGGGCTGGCTTCACCAGAGCCCAAGTTGGCGCGGAAGGGTGCGGCAACGAGGGGAAAAGGAGGAGGAGAATGAGCAACAGGAGACGTGTCACCAGAAGCAGCAGCAGAGCAAGCCCAGCACACACCACTGATGCTACAGTGCGCCCTCCCGTCCCAAGTCCCCTCCTCCGAAGCCAATGCAAGCTGTTCCTTCCACTACGGCGATCACCTGCTGGGAAGGTGAAAGGAAAAGAAGAAGGGGAAAGGAGGAAGGACGAGGGGGGGATTAGGGAGGGAGGAAAATATCGGAGGAAGGGAAGGAGGGGAGTGGGTCACACTGAGAGGAGCAAGAGCAGCACTAGGCGGAGGTGGAGAAGGCAAGCACCTTGCACGCGTGAAGCGTCGCGTACTTCGCCACACCATACAGAACGCCGCCGATGGTCGCCGAAACGTGGGTGCCGTGACCGTTACGATCCACCGCGCACTCCCGGTCCGTCGGGTCGCATTCCTGGAGACGTCCTCCTGCTCCTGTCATCATAATGGTCTGTAGCAGCCTCACAGTCTTCCTCATAATGATCGTATTACGGTTCACGAGCACAAAAAGCGTCAAAATCGTTATCATCATCGGCGTAATAATAAGAAGAGGAATTAAAATAGTAGAAGCACTAAGAAGAACAGTCATAAGAGCAACAACAACAACAATCATAACAATGATAATGATAACAACAAAAATAAGAACAATAATATTGGTATTAGAGGTAATGCCAAAACTTTCAAGATACTAATAACAACAACAAAAACAATAATGACATATAATAATGCGAATAATACTCGTACTAATAATGAGAATATGAATAATAATGCTAATAATAATAATAATAATAATAAGCATCATAGTAATAGTAATCACCATCATCATCATCATCATCATCATCATCATCAGCATCATCATCAGCACCACCACCATCACCATCTGGATCATCACCACCATCACGATCATCATCAGCATCATCATCCTGATCACCATACAAAGATTCCCGTCCTCCACCTGGTGATGATCATGATGGTGGTCACCACCACCAACGTCATCATACTCATTATCATCAGCATCATCGTAATCACCGTCACCATCATCATCCGCATGACCATTAGCATCGCCGCCATCATCGCCATAATCAGACTGATCACCATCGCCATCACCATCGTCATCATCAGCAGCAGAATCAACATCACCATCACCATCATCGTCGTCAGCAGCATGATCCGCGTCAACAGCATCATCATCAACATCACTACCAGCGTCATCATCATCGTCATCACCACCAGCAGCAGCATCCTCGTCATCATCACCATCAGCAGCCTCGTCGTCATCAGCAGCATCACAATCAGCATCAGCAGCAACATCAACACCCTTGTCATCATCGTCAGTACCAGCATCATCAGCAGCAACAGCACAAGTGTCATCACCGCCACCATCATCAGCATCAGCAGCCGCACCAGCATCAGCATCATCATCATCATCATCATCATCATCATCATCATATCACCATCGTCGTCATCATCATCATCACCATCCCCATCATTATCTTTACCAGGAAAACCCTCATGCTCATCATCATCACCATCATCATCGTCATGAACACAATTTGCTTCCTCATAGTCTTCATCCACCCCTTCCCCCTCATTCGCCTCCTCCTCCTCGTCCTCCTCCCCGTCCTCCTCCTCCTCCTCCTCCTCCACCTCCTTCTCGTCCTGCTCCTCGTTCGCCTCCCGGCACCTTTCACCCCGTGGCACGAATGTCTTCCTGAACGTCGCTTCCCCTCTCCCCTTAGGGCTGGTCGGCCCTCAAGGGGGTTTATCAAGCTCAGGCCAGGAGACCCCTGGAGCATCGCTCCAGGGCCAACCAGCACGCACGCATTTTACGCGAAGTGGAGAACGCAAAGGTAGGCCAGACAGATCAGACGCGGGATAAGGATGAGAGAGGAGCCCGATGATGAACGAGGAGAGAGGGGTACGAGTGGGGAATGTTGGGCAGCGTGGCGCAGGCTAGCGGCGGCCGCATTGTGGACAGACAGACAGCTGAGATGAGGAGGGGGGCAAAGAAAAAGGAGGCCTCATAATCCGAACGATGGGAAACGGATACGAATAGGGACTGCTGGGCAGCGCGGCGCAAGCTCGTGGTGGCCGCCGCATTGTGGAAAAGGTGGGGGGCCCGTGGGCCTCGTAGGCCCCCCCGCCTTCGGGTCTACTGGCCCTGTCGGGCCAGCGCCCTGGAGGGCGCCCTGGGTGCCCTGGAGGGCACCCACCTTGGTCAGCCACCACGCGAGGTGGCGCGGAAAGGTTGAGCCTGCTGCTCGCGGCTGCTGTGGCCAGCGCCTTGGCTGCCAGCGGCCCCCCGGGCCGGATCTTCATCCCGAGGTCACTTGTTATTGGCGGCCCCAGGGCCCGAAGATGGCACCCAGAGCCCGAGAACGGCGCAGGAACTCGCACGTGCGCGGCCAAAACTGTCGCCTCGATGCTGCGCCAAGAAAGACATGATCATCACGCGGTCGGCAAACAGAAGTCATCCGCCTGGGTGTTCTCAAAGGGTGGCGTCGGGCCCAAGGGGCATGGCGACCCCAATCCACGACTTTGTGGCGGTTTCTATTGGACAAAAAATTGAGCCCAAGTCGCCGACGTACGATGGGGGGCGTCCATCCTCGATAGTGGGTGTGCCACGATGGCCCCTTGGGGATGCATCCCCGAGCTTCCCATCCTTTCTGAGCGAGCGGCCTGGCTTTTCGGAGGGACCTCGGGAATTGTCGGGAGAAAACTGCATAAACCGAATTGTATGAGGTCTGCACGGATTTCTCGGATCGGTGCTGGACCCCCTTCCCTGGCGCGCGAAGCGCGCCAGGAGCGGCACTGGAGGCACCGCCGCGAAGGGGGGGGCCGGCACCGATCCAAAAGATGCGCGCGGAGCTCCGAAAACTTCCGTTTCAACATTTTGAAGACCGGGGGCTTGAACGGTGAGAAATTAGAGGAAAAAGAACTATGCACATACACCGATTCTGGCCAGGCCCATCCTGAGCCCAGGGTCGGTGCATACGCCCTCCTACCTTGGCCAGGAAGGCATATGCACCGATCCTGGGTCAAAAATGGGCCTTGCCAGGATCGGTGCATGTGCATAGTTCTCTTCGCCCGAGAAATGGCCTGCAAGGCTGGGTTCCTTCAGCGTGCCGCTGGTAACGTCGATGGTCGGGATCGCGCGCCGGAAGTCCTCGGCGCTCAGGGGGGAGGGCGCCGCCGACGGGCTCCTGCCCCAGGATCGGCTCTCTCTCTCTCTATTTCTCTCTCTCTATTTCTCTCTCTCTCTCTCTCTCTCTCTCTCTCTTTATCTTTCTCTTGTTCTCTCTCTCTCTCTCGTTCTCTCTCTCTCTCTCTCTCTCTCTCTCTCTCTCTCTTTCTATATACATATATATATATATATATATATAATTGTTTCTCTATCTCTCGCTCGCTCTCTTTCTCCCTCTGTGTATATAAATGTGTATTATATATCTCTCCCTCACTCACTCATTCAGCAAGGGAAGGGGAGCAGACGACAAGGAGGAGAGGGAGAAAATGGATGAGCAGGGGGAGGAGGCGGACGAGAGAGGAGGGGAGGATGAGGAGGACTACCCAGACCAGCTGGCCTCGGGGAAATAATAAAACACAACAACAACAACAACAACAACAATCACTTTACCCGAACGCTCAGTGTTCTCACCAGTGCCAGGGTTTTCATGCGACGCCAGCCAATACCCCCACTTTGTGGGGGGGCAGTGCAAGCTCTACCAAATATCCACACGACTCTTCGCCACCACCCACACCCAGCTTCCCGCCCTATGACGTTCGGACACTTCACTTCGTGGCCTGCGGACGACCGTGGCTACTACACTGGCGTGGAGTACACACCCACAGAAGTTGTTAAGCCTACGTTCGCACACCCACAGAAGTTGTTAAGCCATGTTAACCCACAGAAGTTGTTAAGCCTTCCAAAAGCCCGTTTGACAGAAATGTTTAAAAAGTGTTGGGTTTCCTACGAATCCGCAAGAGCGCGCGGGATGAGATTTTGACCATTTTTTGTTGAAAAACCATTGATGTTTTGATGTTTTTATGTTAAAATCGTTGCGAACACTAAGGTTTTGGAAGGATTTCGTCTTGCGCGCGCGAATGTCCACTTTACCTTATTTTTTGCAAGGGATTCTTGAAATTTGATTATATTAGAACAAGAAATGTCATTTTCTATTGTTTTTTGCAAGGGAAAGCGGATTACAACAAAACAACCGGATCCTGTACACACCCTCTTTTCTGAGGCTTCCTCACGAAAATGATGAAAATGTAGCTGCGGCCTAGGCGGCGCAGGGGGGGCGCGCACCAGGGGGCCCAACAATAATTATTCTTTAGAATAAATAATGTTCAACAACAACAACAACAACAACAACAACAACAACAACAACAACAACAACAACAACAACAACAACAACAGCAGCAGCAGCAGCAGCAGCAACAGCATCAGCAACAGCAACAGCAACAGCAACAGCAGCAACAACACAACAACGACAACATCACCGCGGAAGGCTCTCGGCTGCCTCACCTCGCTGGGGGTGCCCAGGGCGCGGCCTTGCCCGCCTGCGTGGCAGCGTTCCTCAGCGCGCCAGGGCCCAGAACCGGGGCACCCACGGCGAGCAGGACCAAGATCTGCCGAGTGCCCAGGCCGAGGACGCGCCGCGCCAGCGGAGAGGCCATCTGCGGCGGGGGCGCGGCGGCCGCGCGGCCCGGCCGCCCTGCTGCACCCCGAAAGGCGCACCAGGCCGTGGCCCCCTGGCTTCCGCCGGGAGCGCCGCCGATCCCGCAGGAAGCGACGGCTCTGCTGGGCTTGCGCCAGCTTCCCCAGGCGCCCGGCGTCCCGAGAACATCGGGACGGAGGCTCTTCCTCGTTTCCGGCCTCTCGTGGCCCTTGCCAGGCCGCGGGGCCGTCAGAAATTGGCCCGGGATGAATCACTTGTCCCCGGAAAGTGCTCGAGAGGTGGGGAGCCCGCATCGGGACGCTGGACAAATCGGTCGACACCACCACCCAGAAGGAGCAGCAAGTCTCAGGCTTTCGCCAGATGTCCCGCCCACCCCGCGGACACTGAGGCTCGGCTACACGCAAGAATGACCGTAGGCAAAGAAGGACCTGTGGCGCGCGGCTCTAAGGGGGCCGCGGGGGGGCCAAAACACACGCGCGCACGCCAGCGCCAGGGGAACTCTTGCGAGCCCGCACCAAAGGTCACTCCAGCGAAGGGCCACTCCTACGCGTAGCCGATGAGGCGCTATACCGAGGCTGGGCCTTGGGCAGGCCCGCACCGGCGCTCCGCAGGCGGATGGAACGCATAATGACATGACATAGTAGTACGATTGCCCCTGTTGGAGACGCACGTCCGACACGAACATTGAATTGAATATAAAGAACCTGTTGATATCTCGTCTCCTGCGTGGTACGGCCAGAGAGCGCCCACCACGAAGCTTACTTCACAAGATTTCCGAGCGTCCGCGTCGCCGAAGCGTGGCCGACGCACAGACAATACAATCATGTCTGGGTGGTGCCGAGCGAAGTGCAGTGTGGGCTGGCCACAACCACACAGGCAGCAGGAGCGCCCCCGAAGCCCCCCCAGAAGCGCAGGCGGGGCCCACGCGTCCCCCAGAGCCGCGGGGAACAGGGCAGCCGCCTCCGCGCGACCTGCGCGAGCAGCGTTGCGTTCGTGCTTGTGGAAGCCTACTCCAGATTTCGTAATAAAAGGGAGGGGGTCTGGACCCTCCAAGACAAGCCATTTCAGACCTCCCCCGTGGGAGAACCCTCCAAAACATCGTCCCCAGACCCCCCAGGCCCTCCAGGATAGCCTGGAAGAGACCCCCCCCGAAATGAGACCCCCCTCCCTTTGTTACGAAATCTGGAGTACCTTGGTCCAGAGGCTGGCGGCCTGGCGGCAAATGGCGGCAGGCAGCGGCCACCGACCAGCGGCAAAAATAGCGGCGCACGCCCCGCGCCAACCGTCCTCCCATCACCCCCTATGCGCCGCCTGTGGCCGCTAAGCGCAAAACAGAAAACCACAACAACGACGACGATAACGACGACGACAACGACAACAAACAACAATAACAACAACCACAACAACAACAACAACAACAACAACAACAACAACAACAACAGCAGCAGCAGCAGCACCAACAACAACAACAACAACAACAAGAACCACAACAACGACAACAACAACGACAACATCAACAACAACAACAACAACAACAACGACGACGACGACGACGACGACAACAACGACAGCAACAACAGCAACAACAACAACATAAGTAACAACAACAACAACCACCAGAACAACAGCAACAACAACAGCAACAACAGCAGCAGCACCAACAACAACATCTACTACTACTACTACTACTACTACTACTACTACTACTACTACTACTGCTACTAGTACTACTACTACTACTACTACTACTACTACTACTACTACTACTACCACCACAACAGTGGCAACGGCAACAACCACAACAACAACAACAACAACAACAGCAACAGCAACAGCAACAGCAACCACAACCACGAAAACAGAAATTGCAACAACAACAACAAACGCAGCAGTATTAACAACAACAATAATAATAATAATAACAACAACAACAACAGTAGCAATAGCAACAGCAACAACGACAACAACAACAGCAGCAGCAACAACAACAACAAAAAACATTTCCGGTGAAAAATCAATGCTTCCATCAACAAAAACCTAAGCAGCGGCCACACAGGTGGCGTGCCGCCAATTCCGCGTGGCGCCTACCTGAGCCGAAGCGGCCACGGAGCGGAAGTCGGCGGATGTCTCGGTCAGCCTTTCAGCCAGCTGCAACGACTGGGGAAAATGGGCCCCGAAAAGTGGGCCCGAACAGTCCGGGCTGGAGGCCAGACACGGGCACAAGAGCTCGCGGACGCACTCCGGCGCGATGGGCAGACCAACCTCCGCTGAGACCTCAGGGCCGTAAGGCACGCAGCGGGGCGCGCGCCTGCGCGCGCGGCTCGTACTCAGCGTTCCATTCCGCGGCGTTTCCAGATAAGCGACGAAAAGAAACGCACGATGGCCTAGCAACCTTACGCGGAGGCTTACGCGGGCCACCAGAGCGGCACGCTACATTGAAAACGAGGGCGCTTACGCGCGACCTTACCAGAGTAGCTCAATTACGCGCGAATGTCGGCGCAGACGACCCCGCTATTCTCCCCCCCCAGTGTCTCTGGCGGCCGATTCTAGGTCCCAGGGGAAACCACTCTGGGTGCTTTAGGGGGTCCTGGGCCTTGAGCTTGGAAAAGCTAGTGGCGTGCCCACCGCAGCGCCTCGGAGCATCCCGTCTTGCGGTACATGTCGATGGCAGACGCCAGCGCCTGCGGGAGCATTCATGTCGCTTCGTAGGATGTTGTCGCCAGGCTGGTAAGCAGCATCGGGGGAGCGTTTGACAAGAGCGGAAGCCTCGCTCGTTCCCTTGGCGACGGCGTCGCGCACGCGGCCTGGCGGAGGCGCGGCTTGGGGCGCGCCGGGGCGCGCCGGGGCAGCCGGGGCGCCAGGCGCGCCAGCAGAGCCTGCGCTCGCTGAGCTCCCAAGGAAAGCGACGCGGGGGGCACCCGAGGGCGGCTCAACGCTGCCGCCGCCGCAGGCGGTTGCCGGAGGGTCTCGGCAGGCATCGCCAGGCCCAACGGGGCAAGGCGGCGCCGAGGCAGCCGCCGGCTCGGCGGGCGCCGGCAGCGCCGCAGGGAGGTGCATAGACCCCCCGCCGCGGCCAGGCCGCCAGTGCCCGCGGGAGCGGGGGCCTGCGCGCGCCGGGGACAAAGGGGCGCGTGGGCTGGGACAGGTGGCTCGTCCGTGGCGGCACCCGGCGGGTGAGCCTCGGAGGGGAGGGAGCGGCTTGCCGAGCGCTGGCGCTGGAGCGGGGTCCTGTGGAGGCCCATTGCCCGCAGCGCCGCCTCCTGGCCGGCGCTTGCGGCCACGCCGGCGATCCCCGCCAGGTAGGAGGACATGGCGGCTTTGGGGGGGGGCAGGCCAGGGCGGGACCGTAAGGGCGAAGGCTGTGCTGGGTGTGGGCACGGTCGAGTAAAGTGACCCGTGTGGACCCTGCCCCAGGTGGGCCTAGGAGGGCGCGCGGCCCGGAGGGGAGGAGCCCACCCTAAGGCGGAAGCCCTTGAGCAGGGGGATGCCTTGAGCCAAACCCTTGAGCCAGAGCACACACACAGACACACACGTGCGCTCGCGCATGCACCCACACACTTTATGTCGGCGGCTAGACAGAGTCACTGCGCTGACGAGGAAGCGAAGCACCCACATACACACACGCCACACACACACACACACACGCACGCACGCACACAGACACACACACACACACACACACGCGCGCACACACAACCACACAACACAACCACACAACACAACCACACAACACAACCACACAACACAACCACACAACACAACCACACAACACAACCACAAGCACACACACACATACACACACACGCAACACAACACAACACAACGCAACACAACACAACACAACACAACACAACACAACACAGCACAGCACAACACAAAACATAACAACACGACACAACACGACACAGCACAACACAGCACAGCACAGCACAGCACAGCACAGCACAGCACACACACACAAACAAACAAACAACCAAACAAACCAACAAACAAACAAGCAAGCAAGCAAGCAAACAAGCAAACAACAACACAACAAAAACAATACACAAAAAAAAAACACGCGGTCCTCGTCGAGGTCGCCGTGGCTCCCGAAGAACCGGAACTCCCTGCGGCGAGGACGCCATCTGTCCACCCGCGCCATTCCTGGCTGCGCCGGGCCTGGGCCCAGACATCGGTGTGGAGCCCTGGCTGGGGAGGCGTGTGCAGCACACGGGTGTCCAGGGCCAGGGCCGGCCCGCCCTGGGTCGGTGCACGGCAGGTTCACGGTTCACGCCGCGACGACGTCGGCGTTAGCCCCTGGCAACGCGTGGATCGTAAAACCCTGAACGGTCGCGACTTTCCGACAGCACTGATCGAGCGACGCCGGCCGAGTCCGGGCCGCCGCCGGCGTTCAAACTTGAACGACCGCGCCAGTGACACAGCCGCGTCAGCGTGTCGCGAACCCACCGTGGGTGGATGGCCGGCGTCCCCCGACCTGTGCGTGGTCTTGATGCCCGTGTCCAGGACCTGGGCCGAAGGCGAGGCCCAGAGCAATCGACGCGACGCCGGCAAGCACACAAGCCGCTCTGCTCGGACGACTCCGCTCCATCGCGCCTGCGTGGTCGTGTATCCCAGACATCCGATCGCCGTGATCGTCTCACACTGCGGGCAGCGGCGCTCTCAGCCCCACCCCCCGAAAACTGGCTTTTCGGCGCGGGGGCGCTTCTTGATGTCCCAGTGGCCCTGGACGGCCCTCAGGGCCCAAAAGTAGCGAAAAGCGCTCGCTGTGAATCGTTCTCGCGGCGCCACACGGCGCCTGAGAGCTCTGGGTGCGACAACGCTGCGGCGTCGACTGGGATCGCCTGGCGAGGGCCCCGCAGCGCCAGCTTCACCGTCTCTGCCGCCTCGGCATGCACGGTGCCACCGCTCTGATCGAACGGCTGCGCCCGAGCGCGCTCGCGCGCGCACGGCGCGCGTGACCACGTGGCCAACTCAAGGAACCCCTCAATCCAAGTATGTTGACGTCTCGCTTCAACTTCCGCTGGCATTCCGCCGGCCTTCCGCTACATTCCATCAGCAGACCCGCCCTTCCACAGGCTCTCGTCAGCTGTCCGCCGGCTTCCGCCGAAGGCGAGACGTGCCGCATGCGAGGCCTGTCCTGAAACGCTGAACACTCTTGGAACTTACGTAAAACATATTGCAGCCCAACGCGCACACACAAACTCAAGCCTCTCGAAATGCCCACCCCCCTCCCACTCATCATCAGCATCACCAGCATCATCATCAGCTCATCATCAGCATCATTAGCATCATCATCAACAGCATCATCATAATCCTCAGTATCAGCAGCAGCATCATAATGATCATCATCCTCATCATCAACAGCATCACCACCAGCATGATGATCACCCGAATCATCATCATCATCATCATCATCATCATCATCATCATCATCATCATCATCATCATCATCATCATCATCATCATCATCATCATCATCATCGTCATCATCATCATCATCATCATCATCATCCTCATCCTCATCCTCATCCTCATCATCAGCAGCAGCAGCATCATCATCAGCATCAGCACCAGCATGAGCATCAGCATCATCATCAGCAGCATCAGCATCGTCATTATGTTCACCATCAGCATCATCATCATCAGCAGCATCAGCATCAGCATCATCATCACTATCATCATCATTTCATCATCATCCTCATCATCATCACAACCGACACCATCATCAACATCAGCAGCATTATCGTCATCGTCACCATCATATGTTCATCATCTCGTCCTCATCTCAGCAACAGCATCATCATCATCATCATCATCATCATCATCATCATCATCATCATCATCATAATCGGCATCATCGTCATCGTCATAATTAGCATCTTCATCAGCATCACCATCATCATCATCATCAGTATCATCATCATCATCATGGTCATGATCATCAGCATCACCACCATCATCATGTCATCATCATCACCATCATCATCGTCGTCATCGTCACCATCATCATGCCTTGACCATCTCTTCATCATCCATCCCAACAACATCAGCATAATAATGATAATCATCATCATCAGCATGATCACGAGCATGATCATGATCATCATAGTCATCATCCCCCTCACCCATCCCTGTTCCTCTTCCTCTTCCTCTTCCTCCTCCGCCTCCTACTCATCATCATTATCATCATCGTCATAATAATCGTCATCATCATCACCACCACCATCACCCCCATCTCCACCATCGGCAGACATCCCTTGGCCGAAAGGTTTCCCTCTTGCTTGAGAAACCATGGATCCCATTGGATCCCATTGTGCGTGCGTGTGCAAGAATATCGTGCATACCATGTGTCTGTCGATCCTGCTGATCCGAGTTGATCCATGTTTTGGCGTGGAAATATCAGCCAGCGTTGACTCCAAATAGATATGAGGACAGGAGGAGGGCGAGACGAGGATGGGAGGAGGACGAAAGGAGGACGGGAGCAGGACGGGAGGAGCAAAATCAAGCAAGCGCAAGCAAGCAAACGGAAGCAAGCAAGCGCAAGCGAGCATAAACATAGGCATAGGCATAGGCATGGCATAGGCATAGGCATAGGCACAGGCATAGGCATAGGCATAGGCGTAGGCATAGGAGTTATGGGGGAGGCATAGGCATAGCCATAGCCATAGGAATTAGGGGGGGCACAGGAATTAGGGGGGGGCAACGGACCAATTGGTAGGGTTTGAGTGAGAACTCCTATAGGGCAAGGCTATTTGGAGAATTTCGTGTATTCTATTCTTCCCCCTGAAGAATTAGAATCATCATTGATATCGTGGGCCATCAGAAAATTGGATCCACGGAGCGGTGGATCTGCAAACCAATGCTATGATTTTACGGGGGCCAGTCGTTCGATCAGCGTCGGCGGTGGGTCGGTCGGTCGGTCGGTCGGCTGGCAGGCCGGCCAGTCGGTCGGCTGGCGCGTCGTTCGGTGCGTCGTCGTCGTCGTCCGTCGGTCGTCGGTCGTCGTCGTCGTCGGTCGGTCGGTCCGTCGTCGTCGTCATCTGGGGCTCAAGAGGGAAACCTTTCGGCCTGCGTAAGTACTACCCGCCACCAGCATCCAAAGCAGCATCGTCATCGGTATCCTCATCACCAACATCACATCATCTGCTTCTTCATCATCATCACCGTCATCATCGCCATCATCATCATCATCATCATCATCATCATCATCATCATCATCATCATCATCATCATCATCATCATCATCATCATCATCATCATCATCATCATCGTTAGCATCATCACCATCATCCGAATAGCAATGAGAATAATAGTGATAATAATAATAAGAATGATAATACTAAGCATCATCATCATCATCATCATCATCATCATCATCATCATCATCATCATCATCATCATCATCATCATTATCATTATCATTATCATTATCATAATCAGCATCATCAGCATCATCACAACCACCACCATCATCAGCATCACCATAATCATTTCATCATCCAACGCACCATCACCACCACCACCACCACCACCACAACCATCAGCATCGTCATCATCATCGTCATCCTCATCATCATCACTATCCCAATCATCATCATAATCAGCATCAGCAGCATCATCAGCAGCATCATCATCACCATCATATATATATATATATGCAAACCCCTTATTATTCTTAATCATCACCATCATCAGCATTGTCATCATCATCCTCATCATCATCACCGCCATCGTCATCCTCATCAGCATCGTCACCATCATCACGAACATGATCATACCCATCGCCGTCATCACCATCATCATCCTCATCATCGTAATCACCATCATCCTCGTGGTCAGCGTCATCATCACCAGCAACATCATCAGCAGCTCCATCGTCATCGCAATCGTCATAGTCGTAAACACCATCATCCTCATCTACATCATCGGCATTATCATAATCGTCAGCATCAACATCGTCATCATCATCAGTATCGTCGCCATCATCATCACCACAATCGCCCGCCTTCCTCTCATCATCAGCATCATCGCCAGGGCCATCCTCATCATCATCATCATCATCATCATCATCATCATCATCATCATCATCATCATCGTCATTAGCCTCCTCCTACCCCATGCCTCCCTCTTCAGTATCCACCCTGCTAACCTCGTCATCCATCCCTTGCCTCCTCCAGCTCCTCCTCCTCCTTCTACTGCTCATCATCCTCATCCTCATCCTCATCCTCATCGCCGTCCTCATCACCACCATCATCATGATGATCAGCATTGGCATCAGCATCATCATCGTCAGCATCGTCGTCGTCATCATCACCATTATCATCAGCATCATCATCAGCATCAGCATCGGGATCATCATCATCATCGTCATCATCAGCAGCATCATCATCAGCATCGTCATCATCATCATCATCATCAGCAGCATCAGCATCGTCGTCATGCACACCCATCCTGACATAACATGGTGGTAGCGTGGCACCAAGCTTTAAATCATTATGCAGATCATTTCCGTGGTTGCCATCCTCATCACCACCACCACAATCATTATCAACACCATCGTAGTCGCCGTCATACCCCTCACTGCACCCAAACGTCGGCGTCGTGGCCATCATCATCGAAATCATCTTAGTCGCCGTCGTCCCCCTCACTTCTCCTCCTCCTCCTCCTCTTCCTCCTCCTTCTCATCATCATCATCCACAAAAAAAAACATTATCATTATCAGCATCAGCAACAGCATCAGCATCAGCATCAGCATCAGCAGCAGCATCATCATCATCATCATCATCATCATCATCATCATCATCATCATCATCATCCCTCCTCTCCCTCATCCTCCTCACCTCCACCCCCACACACCATCCTTTAATCTCCTCCTCCTCCTCTTCCTCCTCCTCCTCCTCCTCCTCCTGCTCCCTCCTCCTCCCCCTCCTTCTCGAATTCACTCCCTCACTCCTTCCTCCTTCCTCGCCCTCCTCAAAAATATCACCTCCTGCCACCTCACCTCAGCTCATCATCCTCCTCACCTCTTGCTCCCCATCCCCCTCCCTTCTCGATCCGCCATCCTCCTCCTCCTCCTGCTCCTCATCGTCCCCCTCTCCCTCCTCCCCCGTCTTTTCACATTACTCCTTACTCCCCCCCTGTCGCAGCCCGAGACACGTCGGTAGGGCGGGCCAGGCGTTTCGCCCGAGACCTGCTCACCAGTCACAGCCCACGAGCTGAAAGTTCTCACCAGCTTCACGCATGGAGGGCGGGTCGCTTGCAAGATGTGGCCCTCGCCCTGGCGCCACGCACATGCGTCCTGACAGTGCGCAGCAGCAGCTTCACGCATGGAGGGCGAGGCGCGTTCGAAGTGTGGCTCTTTCGCCGCAGCGCCGCGCACAGTCGTCTCGAAAGCTTGCAAGGGCTTCACGGATGGAAGGGCCGGCGGCTTTCCGCATGTGGCCTTCGCCTCAGCGCTGCGCACACTCGTCCCAATGAGAGGCTGCAGGAGCTCCACGGACGGAGGGCGGCTCCTTCTCAAAGCGTGGGCCCTCTCGCATCAGCGCCGCGCGCACTCGCCATGAGACTTTACAGCAGGTTCAGGGGTTCCTCTTGGCCGACGCTCCAGAATTGGCGCTCTAGCACGATGTCGGATTGCCAGGGCGCGGCAGACACATTGATGCGCGGCGGTGCTGAAGTCCCAGGAGCGGCGTTCTGGCACGATTCGGGGCCGTCAAGACGCAGGAATAGCGTTGATTCGCGGCGTTGAAGTCCAAGGACTGGTGTATGGGCACGGTTCGGGATGTTCAGAGGATTGCCCTCCAACGTAGCACTTCCCTGTGCACATGAATCCTTGTAGGAACCTACGAAGAGGGAACTTGGAGGGAAGGTTTATTGCAACGTCGTTGATGGGTCTGGGGTTTACACCGGTCCTCCTCCTCCTCCTCCTCCTCTTCCTCCTCTACCTCCCCCGTTGTCCTCCCTTTTCTCCACCCGCCTCCCCCACGATCCTCATCCTATCTCGATGACCTCTCCTCTACCTCCTTCCCTCCTGCTCCTCCACCCCCTCCTCCTTCCCCTCCTCCTCCTCCTGCAGATCTTCCTCCTCCTGCAAATCTTCCTCCTCCCCCTCCTCTTCCTCCTCCTCATCCTCATTCATCTCTGGGCTGGGGGGGCGACGTACACGTGCACGCCCTCGCCCATCCTGTACCGCACCTCGTACTGATTGTCCAGCGTGACGGCGGCACCTGGTGGGCAGAGCGCGTGATCGAGGCTGCCGGCTACGACACGGCGAGAAGAGGAGGGGGAGGAAGGAGGAAGAGGAGAAGAAGCAAAAGCAGGAGCAGGAGGAGAAGAGTGAGGTGGGGAGGGAGGGAGGGAGGGAGAGAAGAGAAGGGGGAGGAGGGAGGAGGAGGAGGAGGAGAAGGAGGAGGAAGAGGAAAGGGAGGAGGAGCGGGAGGAGGGAGGGAGGGAGGGAGAAGGGAGGGACAGGAGGAGGAGGGGGGAAGAGGAGGAAGAGGAGAAGCGGGAGGAAGAGGAGGAGCAGGAGGAGGAAGGGGGACGAGGAGGAGCAGGAGGAAAAGAAGGGGACGAGGAGGGGGAGCAGGAGGAGGGAGGAGGGAGAATTGGTTCAGATTCGCAATTGGGTGCAAGGACGGGTCCTGATTTGTAGAACCCATAGGCAGGGCTGAACGACTGGGGAAACCCGACTCAAGGTACAAAGAAGGGGAGGTCAACGAACCCGCGGATCTGTTCAGGCAACCGCAATCTCAAGGGCCGCATTGCTTGATCGTTTAATGGATTTCTTGACCCTCCCTCCTTGCCCCACTCGGCTGGTGGGGCAGTGGTTCACTGACTATGGACGAAAAGGGAGGAGGGCGACGAGGAAGAGGGAGGACGAGGAGGGTGGAGGAGGATGAGGATGGGGAGGAGGGCGACGAGGAGGAGGGAGGGCGACGGGAGGAGGGGCACAGATCGCAGAGGTGAGAGTTGTTCCTATCGCTGCATCGAATGCAGTATACTCTTCGAGTACCGACAAGAACAACACACAAAACACACACGGGGTTGGGAGGCACCGTCCATCCAAAACCCTACGGTATCCCATCAGGGCGCAACAGTTATGTTGATTCGCGGTGTTGAAGTCCCAGGAATGGTGTTCTGGCACGATACAGGGTGGTCAGGACGCAAAAGTAACGCTGATTCGCGGCGATGAAGTCCCAGAAATGGTGTTCTGGCACAGCTCGGGACTTTCAGACGAATGTCTTCCAACGGGGTGTTTCCGCAGTGAAAACAAACCCTTGGAGGGACTTATGAAGAAAGATCTTGGAGGAAGGGTCTATTGCAACATCGTCGGTGAATCTTAGGTTTACACTGGTCCTTCTCCCCATCCTCCTCCACCTGCTCCTCCTCATCATCATCATCATCATCACCACCATCATCATCACCACCACCACCACCATCATCATCATCATCATCATCAGCATCACCATCAGCATCATCATCATCATCATCATCATCAGCATCATCATCATCATCATCATCAGCAGCATCATCATCAACCTCATCCTCCTCCTCCTCCTCCTCCTCCTCCTCCTCCTCCTCCCCCTCCTCCTGCTCCTCATGCTTCCCCCCACTCACCCCACCCCACGGCGATGCCACCAGCAGCCACTGAAGCACCCTGGGACCCCCGGAAAGGCCCAGAGCCTACCCTGACCGCCCGTCCCCCTCCCCGCCTGCCTCCTTCCACAACGGACTGGCTGCGCGCGTAAAGGGGTGGCGCGAGGGGGACGGCATTCTAAGGAGGCGGGGCATTTCCAAAAAGGCAGGTGGCTTCTGAGAAGCGTCAACAGAAGCCCCCGCGCCGTTCGAAGGCCCCCGAATTCCAAAACGACCCTCGCCATCGTCGAAACCCGCCCCCGTCGCGCTACCCCCTTGCGCGCGCTGCCATCAATCCCTCCCTTCCGCCAGCTTCTTGCCTCCTCTAGGGGGCGAGCCGGAAGGCGATTTTAGGACGTGCACGCCCCTCTGGACCGCAGCCGAAGCCATCCCAGAATCCCGTCACCCCGTGGCGTGAGTTTGAGTTTCTGCGACGGCCGTTGCCATCTTCCTCCTCCTTCTCCTCCTCCTCCTCCTCCTACTCGTCCTCTTCCTCATCCTCCTCTTCCTCCTCCTCCTCCTCCTCCTCCTCCTCCTCCTCCACCTCCCTCCTCCCTCCTCCTCCTCCTCTCCTCCTCCTCCTCCTCCTCCGCCTCCTCCTCCTCAACTCCTCCTCCTCCTCCTCCTCCTCCTCCTCCCCCTCCTCCTCCTCGTCCTCCTCCTCCTCATCATCCTCCCCCTCCTCCTCCTCCCCACCCTCACCCTCACCCTCACTCTCTACCCTTACTACCAAGATCATGATCATGATCAGCCTCACATGACCACCATCACCACCGTCATCCGCAGCAGCAACATCACGCGCACCATCCTCAGAATCATAACCATCGGCAGCGGCAGCGGCAGCGGTATCATCATCATCAGAAGCAACATACTCATCGCCGTCATCACCATAATCGGCATCGTCGGTGTCCGTCTTATCGTACTGACTCGTATCACCATCACTATCATCATCATCATCACCACCACCACCATCATCATCAGCAGCAGCAGCATCATCAGCATCATCACCACCACCATCATCATCATCAGCATCATCAGCATCATCGTCATCATCATCATCATCCTCCTCCTCCTCCTCATCCTCCTCCTCCTCCTCCTCCTCCTCCTCCTCCTCCTCCTCCTCCTCCTCATCCTCCTCCTCCTCCATCATCATCATCATCATCATCATCATCATCATCATCATCATCATCATCATCATCATCATCATCATCATCATCATCATCATCATCATCATCATCATCATCATCATCATCATCATCATCATCATCCTCGTCATCATCGTCATCATCATCATCATCATCACCCCGTTCCCCCCTTCTCCTCCTCCTCCTCCTCCTCCTCCTCCTCCTCCCACGACAGCCGCGAGACAGGAGCAGAGCGCACCGCCGTCCAGCCGGTCGAGGCCCCAGAGGTTCTGGCTCTTCAGCTGCTCCTGGGAGGGCGCGGGCCATGTATCTGCACCGATCCTGGCCAGGCCAACTCTGGGCCCATGATCGGGTGCTCCGAAGAGGGGGGCCAGGAAGAGGGGGGTTGGCGCACCATGACCCGCGGCACGTGCGCGGGCGAGGGGGGAACTAGGGAAGCATTAAAGGAGGAAGAGGGAGCCAAGAATTGGGCATCAGATCCACACACCTACACACACACACACACCTAGTCATCACTCCTCTCCTCGACGCCCCCGACGCACACCCTGCCTGGGCTGGCACGCACATCTGACGACGTCAACTTTCCACAGCCATCCACCTTACCGATTCTGGCCGGGCCGGTCCCCAGGCCCAGGCTGGACCCGCCCGGGATCTTTTGGACGGGTGTTTGACGTGCACTGTGCATGCACACACCGACCAGGACATTGCTAACGGTCGTTGCCTGGGGTGGGGGAGGCGGGCAGTGGTAACACTTCAGCGGGGTGGGGTACGTTGGGGCGGGGATGCCCTTCGATCGCCATAGCGTGCACGCGAGCGCCAGCACGTGGGGGGAATCCTGGCCACCCCCCTACGTACGATCGATATCGGTACCCTGGGGGCGGGAGCAGTTTGGCCCGAGTAACGACTGCTACGCGCCAATAAAAAATCTCCTGGCGCCGTGGAAGTGAAGCACGCAGCAGTGGTGGGCAAAGCACTACCAAAACTCGCTGAACTCGCCTTCGGGTCGGACTCTTCGGGCCGCCGTTCGGACCTCAGATTCTGAAACGGGGCGAAAACACTCGCAGCCGGGAATCTGAACAACTCCCAGACGTGGGGTCAGACCCAAGACTGAAGCAGGTCTCTGCCGTGACGACGTCGGCTCTGGTTTCTGACACCGCGTGAGCTCCCGCGTGTGGGAGCTGCGTGCTTCACGCAACCAAGAAACATGCACAGGAAAAGTGCGCGGAACTAACACATCCCTCGCGCGTACAGCTACACAGCTGTGCGCGTGCATGACAAACACTCGGCCTGCAGAGCTTCCCAGACACGATCTCCTGGCGATCCCCAGAGGCTGCCGCCCGCTCCTCTGCCGTGTGGATGCCGCGCCATGGGCTGCCTAATATGGCCTTGCGATGGCACCCCAGGGTCCATCACGGGCCCACGGGAGGGCGCTCCACCTAGAGCGCACGCGCCGACGTCGACGCCCGCGTCGAGGCGGCGCGCTCCTGCCCCCAGACATCCGACGATGCGCCCTGTGGAATGTGCGAGCCCAAGGAGTTCCCGACGCCTTTCCCAGGGGTGATTTGCTTCGCGCCGGTGCCATTGTGAAAGTCCTGAGGCCCGAGGCCGAAACGGAGGGAAAGCGCAAGGGTTGAAACAATCAAACCACCCTTAGTCTGGAGTCACGCCAGGGCTCGAGGGTCGAAAATCGGCCACTGCACCCGTCCAGGGTCTGTTCTGGCCAGACTCTCTCCGCGGACCCAGCCGTGGCAACGAGGAGGCTCGGCAAGGACCAGAAAGGACCAGAGGCGTCCGAAAAACTCCCAAACCCGGCCCTCAAACCTCGATCCTGAAACCTCGACCCTCGAACCTGGTCTGGATCGGCGCAGGCGTACGGCAGGAGACGGCCCGGAGCTCCACGCACTTCGTGCCCGGCTCGTAGTAGCACTGCGCGTAGGAGGCATGAAGCTCGCGGGAAGGCACGTCCCTGGACGCGGGGGGGGGGAAGCACCCTCCTCCTCCACGCCCTGCTCCCTCCTCCTCCTCTTCCTCCTCCTCTTCCTCCTTCTCCTCCTCTTCCTCCTCCTCTTCCTCCTCCTCCTCCTCGTCCTCCTCGTCGTCCTTCTCGTCCTCCTCCTCCTCATCCTCATCCTCCCTTCTCCCTCCTCCTTCTCTCCCAACCTCCCTCCCTCCTTCCCTCCTCCAAGAAAACAACTCGTTCTCCTGGAAAAAGGTTAGTTCTCCGGGTGGACTCCCGGATCCTGATGGGATTGTGATGATTCTGGCAGAAGAGTTACTTCTCCGGGTGGGACCCTATCAGGGGTCATCAACATTCTGCCGAACTTCAATTTCTCAAACCTAAATGCGATCCATCCAGGAGACGCCCCGGAGTTCACACCACGCTAGCCTGGGCTGCGCAAAGAAAGAACTCTTCCGGACGATTTTTCTTGATGTGACGGATATGTCGTCGTAGTGGTACCCGCAGTAGTAATAAAGTAGCAGTAGCAGTAGCAGAAGCAGTAGCACTAGTACTAGTACTAGTACTAGTACTAGTACTAGTACTAGTACTAGTACTAGTACTAGTACTAGTACTAGTACTACTACTAGTAGTTTTAGTAGTAGTAGTAGTAGTAGTAGTAGTAGTAGTAGTAGTAGTAGTAGTAGTAGTAGAGGTTAGTAGTAGGTAGTAGTAGTAGTAGTAGTAGTAGTAGTAGTAGTAGTAGTAGTAGTAGTAGTAATAGTAGTAGTAGTAGTAGTAGTAGAAGCAGAAGTAGAAGTAGTAGTAGTAGTAGAAGTAGTAGTAGTAGTAGTATGGTAGTAGTAGTAGTAGTAGTAATAGTAGTAGTAGTAGTAGTAGTCCAAGTAGTAGTAGTAGTAGTAGTAGTAGTAGCGGTTGTAATAGTAGTCGTCGTCGTCGTAGTAGTAGTGGTAGTAGTAGTAGCAGTAGTAATAATAGTAGTAGTAGTACTACTACTACTACTACTACTACTACTACTACTACTACTAGTACGAGTAGTAATGATAGTAATGGTAGCAGTAGTAGTAGTAGTAGTAGTAGTAGTAGTAGTGGTAGTAGTAGTAGTAGTAGTAGTAACTAGTATTGGTAGTAGTAGTCGTCGTCGTAGCCGTGGTCGAAGTCGTAGTCGTAATCGTAGTCGTAGTCGTAGTCATAGCAGCAATGTTACTGGTAGTAGCAGTAGTAGTAGTAGTAGTAAAAGTAGTACTAGTAGTAGTAGTAGAAGTAGTAGTAGTAGTAGTAATCGTCATGGCAGTAGTAGTAGTGGTAGTAGTAGTAGTAGTAGTAGTAGTAGTAGTAACAAAGGCAGCCGTACTACTAAAGACAATAGAAGTAGCAGTAATCCGAGTGAATTAGTAGTGGTGGTGGTAGTAGTCCTTCTCGTAGCAGTAGTAATGGTAGTAGTATGTTTGTAGTTGCCGTAGTAGTAGTACAAGAAGAAAGAATAGTAGTAGTACTTATTGCTCGTCGTAGTGGTAGTAGCGGTAGTTGTAGATGTAGCCGTAGTAGTCGTAGTAGGAACAATATTCGTAGCAGTCGAAATCGCGATGGTAATAGTAGTGGTAGCCGTAGTCGTAGTCGTAGTAGTAGTAGTAGTAGTAGTAGTAGTAGTAGTAGTAGTACTAGTAGTAGTAGTAACAGTAATAGTAGTAGTAGTAATCGTAATAACCGTAGTAGTAGTAGTAGTAATAGTAGTAGTCGTCTCGCGTCGTCGTCGTGGTCTTCGTCGTAGTAGTAGTAGTCCTTGTCGTAGCAGTAGTAGTAGAAGTAGTAGTAGTAGTAGTAATAGTAGTAGTAGTAGTTGTAGTAGTAGTAGTAGGTGGGAGTAGTAGTAGTAGTAGTAGTAGGAGGTAGTAGTAGTAGTAGTAGTAGTAGTAGTAGTCGTCGTCGTCGTAGCAGTAGTAATAGTCGTCGTAGTAGTAGTAGTAGTAGTAGTAGTAGTAGTAGTAGTAGTAGTAGTAGTAGACGTCGTCGCCGTACGAAAAAAGTAGTAGTGATACTACTACTACTACTACTACTACTACTACTACTACTACTACTACTACTACTACTACTACGACTGCTACTACTACAAAGAAACATAACAATACTACGAGTATTAGCATTAAAAGTAATGGTGGTAGTACTCGCCGTATAAGTAGTAGTAGTAGCTGTAGTAGTAGTAATAGTAGTAGTCGTACTTGTCGTAATAATATCGCAGTAGTAGTAGTGGTAGTAGTAGCAGTTGTAGTAGCAGTTGTAGTAGTAGTAGTAGTAGTAGTAGTAGTAGTAGTAGTAGTAGTAGTAGTAGTACTACTAGAAGCAGTAGTAGTAGTAGTAGTAGTAGTTCTGTCGTAGTAGTAGCTGTAGTAGTAGTAGCTGTGGTAGTAGTAGTAGTCGTCGTAGTAGTAGTAGTAAAAATAGTAGTATTAGTAGTAGTTGTAGTAGTAGTAGTAGTACTAGTAGTAGTAGTAGTAGTAGTAGTAGTAGTAGTAGTAGTAGTAGTAGTAGTAGTAGTTAGTAGTAGAACTCTGACTAGTAGCCTTTGCAACCGTAGGGCTCCCAAAGGCCCCAGGAGGCAAAGATTGTCCCAGCTCCTCTAGTAAGAGCAGATGTTTGGCACGTTCGCCTGATCGGCCCTAACAGCGCCCAAGAGGCCCAACAGATCGCCCATAGACGGGGCGAGAGGCCCCTAAGATGGCCCCAAGATGGCCCCTAAACGGCCCAACTGGCGCCCAAGAGGGCCCGAGGACTCGAGACCCCCTCTCGATTACCATGGCAAGCCATCCTCTCCTCATCATCACCACAACCACATCATCATCGCGACCACCCTTTTCATTTATCATAGTTCTCCTCCTCCTCTCATTATTGGTGTTTGGTGTTTGGGGTTAGGGTGGTGTTTGGTGTTTGGTGTTTGGGGTTTGGTGTTTGGGGTTTGGGGTTTGGGGTTTGGTGGTTGGGGTTTGGTGTTTGGTGCTTGGTGTTTGGGGGTTGGGGTTTGGTGTTTGGTGTTTGGTGTTTGGGATTTGGGGTTTGGTGTTTGGTGTTTGGTGTTTGGTGTTTGGTGTTTGGTGCTTGGGGGTTGGGGTTTGGGGTTTCGGGTTTGGTGTTTGGTGTTTGGTGTTTGGTGTTTGCTGTTTGGTGTTTGGGGTTTGGTGTTTGGTGTTCGGGGTTTGGTGTTTGGGGTGGTTTGGGAGGGAGGTGGAAAACCTGTAAGGGTCTCACCCGGAGAAGCAACCGACACGGCATGTTGCTACGTTCACCCGGAGAAGTAACCCTTTTCCCAGAGAAGTAACCCTTTTCCTGCAGAACGACTTTTTCCCCCTCCCTCACTCCCTCCCTTCCTCCTCCCTCCTCCCTCCTCCATCCTCTCTCCTCCTCCATCCCTCCCTCCTCCCTCCTCCTCCCTCTCTTCCTCCCTCCCTCCTCCCTCCTCCCTCCTCCCTCCTCCCTCCTCCCTCCTCCCTACTCCCTCCTCCCTCCTCCCTCCTCCTCCTCCTTCTCCTCCTTCTCCTCCTCCTCCTCGTCCTCCTCCTCCTCCTCCCCCGATTCCGGGTGCTCCCCAGCTTCGTCTCCGACGCATCCGGACACCTCTTGGGAGAGCCGGCGCAGGCCCCAAGAGGGCCCCAGGAGGTCCCGAACAGACCCCCAAGACGGCCAAGCGGGGGAAAATTAGTGCTCCAGATGGCCTCGAGATGGCCGCGTTACGGCCCGACGGGCTCCCACGACGGCCCAAAGAAACCCGACGAGAATCACAAGAGGCGCCTGAAAGGTAAGAACCCGTGATTTTCCAAAATTTGTCCGCACACGTTCGCTTTCTCACCTTTGAGGGCTGCTGAAAACGCAAGACGGTCCAGGAGGTCCCCAGACATTCTGAAGGCAGCCTCAGGAGGCCGCAAGAGCGCCCCGAGACGGCCCAAGAGGGTCCCTCAAAAAGGCCCCCAGAGGCTCCCAAGATTCTCTGAGGAGAGTCCAAAAAGGTCCCACGAGGCCCCCACAAGGCGTTCGAGAGGCCCCCAAAAACCCGGCGGCCCTGATACGCCGCGGAGCTCGCGCGCGGTCGTCTGGGAGGCGCCAAGCGCACCCAACCATGCGGCTCGCCCCCGCCCTCGCCTTTTCAACCGCGGGGACACATCCACATCCACACCATCGCGGGCCAGGCCCCTGGGCCGCGGCCCCGAATCCTCTGCTGGGTGCCGTTGTCGGTTTCCCTGCCAGACGGCGGTGGCCAGGGCCGCGCCGTCGCCCGCCAGGTCAGCGACCTGGAAGCCGTCGCCAGAGGTCTCCAGCTCGGCCCGCGCCCGCGCCGTCGCCCAGAGCAGCGACCTGGAATCACTAAGACGTCGCCGATAGGCCGGCGCGGCGCTGGGCCCCCGAGGGGCAAAAAGGCAAGCCCCCCGATCGGCGAGGGATGGGCGATCGGGGGGTCGGCGCTTCCACTCCTGAGCCCACGTTCTTCGACGTCGTTGCCCAACACGGAGGGGTCCTCGACAAGCTGGTCGGACCTCGGGGGGTGGGCGCCCCCCCCTCCTCGCGCACCTTCACGGGGGCGCGAAGGAGCGGTGGACTGGAGTCACCCGCGCGCCCCCGGCGCCGTGTCATCCCTTCCCCGCGCTGCTCCCCCGCCAGCGAGAAGCCCGCGAGCGCGGCGCCGTCGCCGCAACTCTGCCGTCCCCCCGCACAAGCCTCGCGCACGAGGCCGGGGCATCCACACAGGCCGGCATCCGCTCCGTGGTCGAGGGGCCAGGAAGCCAGCTCCTCGGTCGAGCCAGGCGGGCAACTCCTGCAGAGCGACGACCAGCGGTGGCCTTGCGGCCGCCAGCGCCGCCCCACCACCTGGGCGATGCGTGCATCGAGGCACTCTTCTGGCACCCCTTGTGCGTTGCGAGGGGCCTCACTGCACTTCGCCAGAGGCAGCGCCAGCGCCTCGAAAGGATCAGCGGAGCCAAACATGTCATCATGAGAACGCATGCTCGACCGCAGGAACGACAGGGAAGAGGAGGCGAGGGAAGAGGGGCAGCAGCAGGAGAAGAAACTGATCAGGGGCGGCGGCAGGTCCTAAGGCTTCTCTTCTCCACGTTTTTGAAGCTGGCGCTGGACCCATCTTCCTCTTTGTCTGGAGAGACCTCGGCAGCATCCATGACCTCTGCCTCCTCACTATCCTCTTCCATCCCTTTTCCGTATAAACGTGTCGGGAAGGTGAGCTGGGCGTTTCGCCTGAGACTTCCTCGCCACTGATTGCCCTGAAACATGAAATTTGCAACAGCTTCAAAAATGGAGGGCAGGTGATTCGCAAAATGGGGCGCTCGCCTTAGCGCCGCGCACATTGGTTCCTACTGTTTGCAAAAGCTTCAAGGATGGAAGGCGGGTGGCTTTCGGGATGTGGCTCTCGCGTTAGCGCCGCGCGCATTCGTCTGGCAAGCTTGCAGCTTCAAGGATGGAGGGTGGGCGGTTTTCAACATGTAGCTGACCGTACCGCCACACACATTATTCTTGAAGTCTGCATACCAGCTGCAAGGATGGAGGGCGGATCCTTTTCAACCTGTAGCTTCGCCATAGCGCCGCGCACATTCGTGTTAAAGTTTGCAACAGTTTCAAGGATGGACGGCGGCTCATTTTCAAAATGTGGCGCTCGCCTCAGCATCGGACGCATACGTCTTAGAAGGTTGCAACAGGTTCAAGGATTCATAGGGTCT